TACTTATGTCGAGGGTAAATGTTTGATTAATATTAGTGGGTCGTAATTTATGAGTACTTTAATTTTCAATCACGTGTCATGGCGGGCGAGCTCACTAACCGTTGTTCTTCGGGGACTTTCATCATACATTCACTTTATGAAGCGCCTGACTAGCATAGAGGAGAGAGAGCGAGAGGTAGATAGAAATGGGGTTTAACGTCTACTCGACACCAACTAGGTCGTTTCGGGTCTAACATACGATTCAATTTTATTTCAAAAAATCTCTTGCGCGTAGGGGTCTTTAGCAGTGGGAGGGAGCCCACGAGGTTGAACAGGCTACTCCTTGTCACACCACTTGATTCATTGACAGACCTTATGATCCAGCGCACACGCGTTAAACTATTCGGCCATTCAACCCCACGAATAAGTAAAGAAGGTACGCAGAGAATATCTGTATGTAGGCTGGCAGAGATTAGCGGAAACGACGCTGTAAAGGCAAACCCCTACAGTGCCACTTTTATATTAAAATTAACGTATGCCAGTCTCATAATGATTAATGTGTTATCGAACTTTTCGAACCCGCGTCTATGTGTTGGGATGCAAATGTGGACACTGCCCGGTGTATACTATTGGCAGAACGTTAAAGAACCCCTTACAAGGGTGCAGAAAAGTAAAACGGTATACCATCTTTCGTCCGTAAAAGTAAAGCGTTCAGTCCCTCTTTCGTCCTTAAAAGTAAACTCTCTTTCGTCCATAAAAATAAAACGTTCAACCCCTCTTTCGTCTTTAAAAGTAAAACATTCCACCCCTCTTTCGTCCATAAAAGTAAAACATCTAACCCCTCTTTCGTCCATAAAAGTAAAACGTTCAACTCCTCTTTCGTCCATAAAAGTAAAACGTCAAAGCCTTCTTTCGTCCATAAAAGTAAAACGTTCAACCCCTCTTTCCTCCATAAAAGTAAAACGTTCAGCTCTCTTAAAAGTCCATAAAAGTAAATCGTTAAAAAAAAACCTTACAAGGGTGCAGTAAAGTAAAACGTTTAACCCCTCTTTCGTCCATAAATGTGAAACGTGCAACCCCTCTTTCGTCCATAAGAGCAAAATGTTCCACCCCTCTTTCATCCATAAAAGTAAAACGTCCAACAACCTCTTACAAGAATGCAGAAAAATAGAACGTAAACCCTCCTTCGTCCATAAAAGTAAATCATTTGCCCCTCTTTCGTTTCATAACCCAAGACATTTTGGCTTTATTTTTAGTTGATTTTGAATTCTGGTCGTGCATTGTGAACGAGGATGACTCTTCCAGAGGCAGTAGCGTTCGTGATTCCAACTGCCAACTATACTTTGATCCACGTGCCTTGTCAGTCCAGTGGACCTTATCCCTGGATTAAAAAGAAAACAGGTTCTTCTCGGATTGCTTCGGGATAAAATCTTCTAGCAGTTCAGGCCGAAAGGTCATTATATAACTCCTTACACAGGAAACCGAGAAGGTAATGTCGCGGCGTAAATTAAATAACAATCTAAAACAAGCGCCTAGATCGGAAAGCACGAGGTGTTGCTCTCAGTTTCTAAAATAAAACGTGACACAAAGACTAAACTTTTAATGTAAACTTTTTAAATAAGAACAATAGGCAGTGTTACAGCTTAACCCGAAATCCTGATTTAAAGTGCAAAGCTAAGTCATATAAATGCCTTGACTTTTTTATTAGAACAAATCTGTTTTAATTTCCGTCGACGTGGTTACGTCTTACAATATGTAACAAAACGGTCTTTTTTGCATTTCCGGAAACACCCTATAAGCAGAACCTACCACGCACACTTGCAGAAAAAACAATGGGTTGTTATAGACATCTTCCCGCATCCTACAAAAATCCTAAATTCTAATCGTACGCTCGTAATCAACAATTAACAACCACAGTTGTTCCTCCCAAGAAATCAAAATACAAAGTTCAAGAGAGAGAGAGAGAGAGAGAGAGAGGGGGGGGGGTTAACGTCCACTCGACACAAACTAGGTCATTTCGGAACTAACATGATTCAATTTCATTTGAATAATTCGCTTGCGCGTAGGGGTCTTTTTTATTAACAGTGGGAGGAAACCGCAGGACCCGGAGAAAATCCACACCAGTTGATTCAATGACGGACCTAATAATGCAGCGCGCACACGCTGACAATACGACCACCCAACCCACCATACTCCTATAGACCATCCGGGGGAAATGCAATAATGGTAATTTGTACAGAGTATTACAAAGGGCAGGATCTGACTGGTTCGATGTGCTCTGACCTTCGAGTAACAAATGGGCCGGTGGGCTACAGAAATGAAATAGGGCTTAACGACATAACTTTCTGCTCCGGCTGGGCAAATGAAGACGGGGCTGAGGAGGAGCATGCGAGTATGGTAGACGCGGGAGGCTCCACAGAGGTTAATTTTCTCATCTGGTTTGGCGGCCTTTATAAGTCCTGAATTTAAGTGGTGTTTGTTGAATTGCTAAGATTGTTACACGCTAAATTTGTTCCTAACCTAGAAAGGTATTCGGGATTATATTCTATAAAACACTATTTACCGTCGGTCTTTCAAAACAATTCTCGCGCCAGTGGGGCCCCCGTGCCTTCCGTCCGCCGCTGGAGCTGGACAAACACACCTGTGGCAAAAACAATAAATGTATAATGTGCCGACCTAGTAGACAATCTCGGTAAAAAATCATACAGCAAAGTGTTAAAAAAAAGGCAGCAGCGGTCTGGGCCGATGTGCTCATACCGCTGGGTAACAATTACTTAGCCATTGGGCTGAATAAACAATACTGCCGAAAAACAATGAACGCTAAATGTGCCGACCTATAGCTATACTAGTAGATACAGGTTGCCGGGTCCGCTACATCAATAAGGATAAAACATACCGTGCTACTTTCAATGTGCTAATCTACTAGTTGAATATTACTTTATGAATTGAGTCTATATTCCCTATTGAGCGATAATGATAAACAAGTGGTCGATTGATGAAAGCTTATGGTGTAAGCTTTCCTCAAAGATAACTGGGCAATTCACTTGTTGACACTGTAGTCTGACCCTCAGCCATGTGGTCGCCGTTAGGTATAGTTTGCAGTCGGCTTGGGGGGATTTGAGTCGAGAAAAGGTGGGCATTATCATTGAACAGGAGACAGCGTAAGACAATGGAGGTTTTGTAAGTGTTTTTTTTATCATTATGTATATAAGATATTGATACAAATGTTTGATAAGAGTAGGTTAAAATACACATGCAAATTCATCGCCTCGCTGTCCACTAACTACCTGGTCCATTGACTGGATAATTATTGTTATAGATTTGTTCAGTAAAGCTTCGTTCGTGCCGCGGGCTTTAAGCTAAACGACATCTTTCTGCAGTGAATAGCAGCCGTAGAGAGTGAAGAATGGGGTAATCAACAATTAACAACCACAGTTGTTCCTCCCAAGAAATCAAAATACAAAGTTCAAGAGAGAGAGAGAGAGAGAGAGAGAGAGAGGGGGGGGGTTAACGTCCACTCGACACAAACTAGGTCATTTCGGAACTAACATGATTCAATTTCATTTGAATAATTCGCTTGCGCGTAGGGGTCTTTTTTATTAACAGTGGGAGGAAACCGCAGGACCCGGAGAAAATCCACACCAGTTGATTCAATGACGGACCTAATAATGCAGCGCGCACACGCTGACAATACGACCACCCAACCCACCATACTCCTATAGACCATCCGGGGGAAATGCAATAATGGTAATTTGTACAGAGTATTACAAAGGGCAGGATCTGACTGGTTCGATGTGCTCTGACCTTCGAGTAACAAATGGGCCGGTGGGCTACAGAAATGAAATAGGGCTTAACGACATAACTTTCTGCTCCGGCTGGGCAAATGAAGACGGGGCTGAGGAGGAGCATGCGAGTATGGTAGACGCGGGAGGCTCCACAGAGGTTAATTTTCTCATCTGGTTTGGCGGCCTTTATAAGTCCTGAATTTAAGTGGTGTTTGTTGAATTGCTAAGATTGTTACACGCTAAATTTGTTCCTAACCTAGAAAGGTATTCGGGATTATATTCTATAAAACACTATTTACCGTCGGTCTTTCAAAACAATTCTCGCGCCAGTGGGGCCCCCGTGCCTTCCGTCCGCCGCTGGAGCTGGACAAACACACCTGTGGCAAAAACAATAAATGTATAATGTGCCGACCTAGTAGACAATCTCGGTAAAAAATCATACAGCAAAGTGTTAAAAAAAAAGCAGCAGCGGTCTGGGCCGATGTGCTCATACCGCTGGGTAACAATTACTTAGCCATTGGGCTGAATAAACAATACTGCCGAAAAACAATGAACGCTAAATGTGCCGACCTATAGCTATACTAGTAGATACAGGTTGCCGGGTCCGCTACATCAATAAGGATAAAACATACCGTGCTACTTTCAATGTGCTAATCTACTAGTTGAATATTACTTTATGAATTGAGTCTATATTCCCTATTGAGCGATAATGATAAACAAGTGGTCGATTGATGAAAGCTTATGGTGTAAGCTTTCCTCAAAGATAACTGGGCAATTCACTTGTTGACACTGTAGTCTGACCCTCAGCCATGTGGTCGCCGTTAGGTATAGTTTGCAGTCGGCTTGGGGGGATTTGAGTCGAGAAAAGGTGGGCATTATCATTGAACAGGAGACAGCGTAAGACAATGGAGGTTTTGTAAGTGTTTTTTTTATCATTATGTATATAAGATATTGATACAAATGTTTGATAAGAGTAGGTTAAAATACACATGCAAATTCATCGCCTCGCTGTCCACTAACTACCTGGTCCATTGACTGGATAATTATTGTTATAGATTTGTTCAGTAAAGCTTCGTTCGTGCCGCGGGCTTTAAGCTAAACGACATCTTTCTGCAGTGAATAGCAGCCGTAGAGAGTGAAGAATGGGGTATGTTATTGGCCAAAAGGATTAAACGTGCACGCACTGTTTAGGATATTGACTATCGCTAAAGGCTAACAATTCATGCTGTGTGTACATTATTGGATGTTTTTCGTTCGTTCTCATACCAGAATTTCCGCACTTTATTTCATTGCGGGTTTACTTTTAGCGAACGTTTTTAGGAGCACTGATGGGTCCATTCTAATACCAGAATTTCCGTAGAAATTTCTAAGGCGTTTATGTCATTGCGGGTCGACTTCTTGTGTTTTTATGTGCAGTAAATTGAATCTTGATGGGTGTGTTGGGTGATATGTTGTTGAAAATTAATATATAATGTATTTTTTGATATTTCTAAATGAATTTAAGATATATTTTTAACTGAAGTCTACCGCTGTGTGAAATGTCATCTGCGTCACAACCTATTTAATACATTAAATAAATTTATTTTTACTTTCAGACTTAAATGGAATACCTCCACGGAAGTCCTCTAACCTATGTCGAATTGATTGGTTACCTAATGTCCGTGTAGGAAAATTAAAACGCCTTTCGCTGAATATATAAATGGTAGATTTGATGAGATTCGTTCACACAGAAGTTTGAATGTGTTGTGCCAGTGTTATCGCGATCTTTGTACTTCAATTAAAACCAGTGTCTGCGAGTACAACGCTGAGATAGCAGGAATCGTACGCCCGCCATTCACAATCGAGTTTCCAGAAAGCGGTGGTGATAATTTAATTAGATTTTGTGAGATTGTGATTATTTGGATCTGATAAACTCCGGATGGTTCCGGACATAGGATAATTAAGACGAAAGTCGTGGAACTGTGAGAAACGTTTGTGAAACGAATGAATAATTTAATAGACTGTAATTAGTTGGAATACATAGTGCAGGTGGATTTATACAGACAATATGAAGACATTTTCAATTCAAACATGCAACCAAATACTGGTAAGTTCTTTTTTTTAATTAAATACTAAATTACAATTTTCCTAATTGGACATTATATGGCGTATGCCCGTCTTCATTATCCCGGTTTTTGAATTACAATGAAAGCTGTTAATTATGTGCTCTTGTCATGTGTCCAAGAAAGAATGAGCACACACTGCCGCGTGTAAGACATCTGTTATTTCTAACAGTTATTTGGACTTGTATATCCGTCTTTATTTTCCCGGTTGGATCAGATATGTGGGACATTAAATCCCATTTCGTTTTTGATTACAACGAAAGCTATTAATTATGTGCACGTGTCATGTGTCCAAGAAAGAATGAGCATACGCTGCCGCGTGTAAGACATCTATTATTTTTAACAGTTATTTGAACTTTGATATAAGAAGTTCATGGGTGGGTGGATTGTTCTGATTTCTTATATCTTTACATGTTGTCTTCTTGGTGACTCAGCGGGTGTGTTGTAGATTATACGGTTATCTATGCAAGTCGTGTGTTCGTGTGTTCGATACATGGTTTGTGCTTAACAATGAGTAGGATTATCTCGACGTATTGCGCCCTCGTCCCCACAAAAAAAGCGAGCGATCGATTGGACAGGCGACCCCACTCCTTGTCACGTACAACCCCCTTTGACGGTAAAACCGGATTGGACATTGACTTATTGTCTTTTATTTCTAAAGAACGAATCATAAATTAGATTAGCCAAATGAAAAATGTTCAGTAAAATATAAAAGTTTATCATGAATCTTCCATGTATGGGACGAGGGTGTAATAAAACAACTTTTGTTATATTGTAACAAACGACAGGAGATTTTTTATATTAATTTAATATGTCATTCATCTGTGTTCATTCATGCAATTTATTAAAAAAGAAAAACACAAGTATTCTAGTAAGTTTTTCATTGACTGTCAAACCTACCTCTATCTACCCGTGGGGTTGCATGGCTGAATGGTTAGCGCGTGCACGTTGTATTACAAGGTCTGTCATTGAGTCAACTGGCGTGGTTTCCATTTCCCGAGCGTATTTTTTTCGCCCGATCGCGCTGATTTTTTAGATGCCGGCGATCAAATTTGCCCGTGTGTCCATGCCCTAATAGAAGAAGAACACCGTGTTTCTTTAATATTATGTCTGTTTACATTAGCCGGATTGACGCAGGACATCAAACCATAATTTCATTTAACATAAATACAACCATTTCCTTTTCATTCAAACAATTATTACATTATTTAATTACACGGCACGGAGCTTAATTCAATAAATCTGAAACATATTTTAAACATTAATGAAAACCTGAAACATGGATTATTAAATATTTTGATTAATAAAAACTATGGCCCCTGATGATTATAGACCAGGCCTATAACATCTTTTTATCGTCCAGATTCGTGAAAAAAGACATAATTACTAGTTGCGTGCTTCGTTCATCTATTAATTTCTTGCTTCTTTGTGGTCTTTATATATAGAATATTAGGTCAATAATAAATGTTTGTACATCTTAAATGTCATACAATAATTAAAGGGTTACATCGCCGTTATTTAATAGTTAGAGTTAGATATGAAATGAAATGAACGGAAAGTATAATGTGCTATGAGTGGAATTTTGCCCGGACAGTGGCTCTACGGGTCTACTCTTATGCTGAATTCCAATTGTCAAGTGTTGTTTAGCGTGCACGACAATGTGATTACGGGACCTCGGTTGATCGTTCAACCCGAACAACTGGGCACTCTTTCACGCGCGATGTTCAAGAGAGAACCGCTTCGGAAAATCCTAAGCGGTTAGCGGATCAGCGACCCACACTCTGGACCACTGCAGCCCCCTCCACAAACTAGGTCATTTCTGACTAACATACGTATCAATTTTATATCAATATGCGCGTAGTGGTCTTTAGCAATGGGAGGAAACCGGAGAAACCGCAGAAAACCCACGAGGCTATACAGGCGGCCTTGTCACGTACAACCGGGGAATCGAAGCCGTGTCAATGAAAGACCTAATGATCCAACGAGCACGGACGGGTTAACCATTCGGCCTCCTCCAGCCCCTCCACTTTATAACACCGTCGATAACATACGACAATTCGTTTGAGATAAATAGTTTTAGACATTACATGATATGACAATATGCATGTAGATAAAGGGGGTTTAAATCCGGGCGTTTGTAAAATTTATGATACAAACCACTGATCTGTTACAAAGATACTGACGCTTCTAGTACACGTGCACGAATCCTACAAACTTGTATAATGATCTTTAATGAAATATAGACATTTCTAGTACGACTGGTACAATTATTATACTGGTCTTTAACCATACATCATGCAAGAGCTAAATCTGTCTATTGCAGGTCTTTCTTTAGGCCTGAAATGTTATAAACTATTTATTAGACATTTATTAACATGAAAAGACCATAATCAACTCTCGATGTCATCTTATGTGTCTGATTGTCACTGGATTTGAATCCGATCTGCTGTTCTACGCTCATTGATGATTAAATCAAAAAGTGGATAATCGAGACTATGTTTTTATCGTACCGATTTTATTAATGATGGCCGAGGCTAGGCCGAAAAATCAATCACTAATATCTCGGTTCATAGTGTATCAATTTGACTGAAATTTTCAGCATATTCGGATTCCATTTACATTATTTAGTTTTCAATTATTATAATAAGAACTGCCAGCTCTTTATCTGATCTTCCATAATGTATCTTTAATAAGATGACTACGTTTCAAGAACACGTGTTCATCCAAATTTTCCGGCGTGGTTCCCCCTTGTCAGTGATGCAGGACGGAGGTCCTGACAAGAACAGCTGTCTAGTCGTTCGGATGGGACGAAAAATAGAGGTCCCGTGTACACATTGGCGTGCACGTAAAGATCCCTTGACAGTTGGAATTCGATATAAGAGTAGGCCGTAGTGCCGCTGTCGGGGCAAAATTTTCCTCATAGCACACTGTATGGCGTATGTCCGTCTTCATTAGCCCAGTTCGGAGCAGAACAGTAGGACGTTAAACCCCATTTCATTTCATTTAATTTCATTTCAAGAACACTTGACGACAGGAGTCGGACAAACTTGACAATAATAAGATACTGATGTTTCTCGTCTACGTATATACGACTCGTACAGACTTTACATTAATAACATGTACTATATTGATCTTTAGGAAAATCGTTTTACATAGACTGTTGTTAATCATTCTTATCGTTCAATAATAAATCACAACTTATAGATTGAATAAAATATGCATTGCTATTCTACTCCTTGTCACGTACACCCTTGGGGTCGAAACCACACCACTTGGCCCAATGACAATAAATCACAAGTTATAGATTGAATAAAATATATATTGCTATTCTACTTCTTGTCTCGTAAACGCCTGGGGTCGAAACCACACCATGTGACACAATGACAGACCTTATTGTGGGTTCACTGACCAGAGGTCGATCTCGTGTATGTCCTGCGTACATTTTGCCGTGCTCGTAAAAGAACCCTTGGCAGTTGGAATTTAAAAAGTAGACGACTGAAACGCCGCTGTCCCGTGGAAATTTTCACTCATGACACACTACATAGCGTTTGCCCGTCATGACACACTGCATAGCGTTCGCCTGTCATGACACACTGCATAGCGTATGCCCGTCATGACCCACTGCATAGCGTTCGCCCGTCATGACACACGGCATAGCGTTCGCCCGTCATGACACACTGCATAGCGTTCGCCCTTCATGACACACTGCATAGCGTTCGCCCGTCATGACACACTGCATAGCGTTTTCCCATCTTCGTTAGCTTGGTTGGCGGAGAACAGTAGGACGTTAAACCCCATTTTATCTCATTCCGTCTCCTCTTTCATTTCGTTTCATTGTTGCTGAAGAGTTTACAAAAACGATTCTTAGATAAAGTATAAATTCAATTAATAAGTATAATTCAATTAATATAATACACTTCACCTGTTGGGATTTGAGAAACATTTATAGAATATTTCTATGTATATTATTTACACATGAGGTCATTGGTTAAATAAATAATTCTTAACCGCAATGACCTCTAAACAAACCTAGTAGTTTACATAATCAGAAACATTTGGAGAGCAGAATATATAGATTTATCTATACGAAACGCCTGACACGGCTTGTATGTAATGAAAACTATTCAAATTTTGAATCGTGGTTTGAATATACTGTCAATGATATTGGCCCTTCACGCTATCAAATCTCACGTCCGCGACTTCCGAAACAATTTGTCATTCATAGAAGTATTGAATGAACATCGGGGTGAACAGTAAGCGAATTGTGGATGATATTGTCAGGTGATACGACAGAATCAAGGCATGGTGTCTTTCTTGTAGGATTTTTTTTAATGTCGTTAGTTAATGTTCAGTAATAGGAGAATGTTGTAAAGTCTAATACACCTGTGTCGGTATATACATAAATGCTTTGATCTTATTGTTATCTATTATATAGATAAAGTTGATCTAACAAGCTAAAGTGAAAGTAGCATGTCAATATGATATATTGGTGATGAATGTCTTTTGACCAATCAACCGTATTATTTACTTGTTGCTCCGTCTCGAGAATTATTTTCCCAGGATATCGCCGTTGGTATAATTTATAAGGTTGGCAAATACGCGGTTCATTATTGCGTCAGACATGTAATTTGCATTTGGAAGTGAATATTTAAAGGTTGAACAAAGACTTCCAACGATTTGTTATTTGGGTTGGTTCTGTTGGTTTTGTTGGTTGATCACAGTGGCTAAGGGGGTAAGACGCTGGCTCGCTAGCCTGGAGGTCGGATGTTCGATCCCTGCATTGGCCGAAAAAGTTCATCCAAATTTTCCGGCGTGATTCCCTCTTGTCAGTCATGCAGTATAGAGGGCCTGACAAGGACAGCTGTCTAGTCGTTCGGATGGGGCGAAAAACCGAGGTCCCATGTACACATTGACATGCACGTAAAAGATCCCTTGACAGTTGGAATTCGATATAAGAGTAGGCCGTAGTGCCGCTGTCCGAGCA